ACAGCTTAACAACTTTTAGCTGGTCGAACAGCCTAGTTTTAGAGGGGGTTTAGCCATTTTCAAGCAAGTTTCCAGTCATTTCCAGCCTGGTCTTAGCTGGTCAGGCTGGAAAATGACCAACTAAAACCAGCCTGGTTTAAGCTAGACTTAGCTGGTTTTGGCTGGGCTCCCGGCTAGTTCCCAGCCTGACCAGCTAAACCCTCTAAAACCAAACTGGTCGACCAGCTAAAACCAGCCAACAAGCCTGGCTGGTTTAAGTTGTTTATTTTTTCAGTAGGGCTATTAGGGAGTGAATATTACTTATTTTAAAAGAAAGCAGATATTTTCATCAAAAAAACAAAAAGAAAGAAAGAAAGAAAGAGGACAGTTCACCAGAAGCCATTCGGGCTGCATTAAAATTCCGTGTGCATATACCCCTTTTCGTTAGAGACGGTCCCTAAATTTGCGACTATCAAACGTTCAAAGTCAAACGAACTTTGGTTATTAACAGCGGTCAAAACAGGAATTGTCAGTACATAACACGTTCAATTTTAGTTTGTTTACCAACAATATCACTGGAAATTATCAACTTATTTTTATTTTTATCTCTTGCAAACTCAAACATAAAGTGGTCAATGGTCATATATTGTACGAGTATACTCACCTGCAGGATTAAAAGTCCGTAAAGGTTCCGGCTGAGTAGTAAAATACATGACTACTGAAACCAGAACCACAGACGTTGTTATAATGAGCCCACCAGCCACAACCATGGACTCATTATCTGTAGACACAATGCTAATGACAGACCCCAAAATAAGTAAAAGATGCAGTGCCTTCATCGTGAAAGCAATTCTATTCCTTTCTTAGTTCAATACTTGTTTTTGAAATAGGTTGGACCCTGTACCTGACAGATTAAGATCAGTGTAGTACTTCCTCAACTGTAGCCTATAAAACAAGCGGATGGGCTTTTACTAACTGCAGCTTTCAGTTTCACTCAGGTTTCACTTTATTGCTGAAAGAACACTCCAATCAAAACACACATCTCCATGAGGCTATGCTGTAAAATCGAGCAGTGCAATAAATTAATTGAAATGAGTTACTTTCACTAATTAATAGAAATAACTCAACATTTGATTCCATTAATGGGATTTTTTTTTTAATTTGCAAAAAAAAAAAAAAAGGTTGACATGTTTATCAACATTATTTGCAATACGGAATATGAATTACATTGTCAATGAGAAAAGATACAAGAGAGAGAGAGAGAGAGCAACAAACAAAGAAATAATAAAAAAGCTTGATATAACCTAGAGGGTAAGACATTTAATAATCAAGTACAGTTTATAAATTAAAGTCATAACAAAATGATATAGTTCTGTTTGCTTTCTTATTTTCAGATAATTAAATACAATTTAAATAATGAATAAATTCTTGCAGAAAACAAGAAAAAACAGGAAAATATGGGTTGGTATTGGTAAATTTGTGTATAATTCCATTAAAGGGATAGTTTACTCAAAATTAAGCATAATTCTGTCATCATTCAATTTACCTTCTTTTTTTTTTTTTTTTTTTTTTTGATTAATTATATTAAAGAAGATATTTTGGTAACCTGTAACAAGCGACGTCCATAGTAGCCCATTTATTTTTCCTACTCCGGATGTCAATGGTTACAGGTTTCTAACAATTTTTAGATCTTTTGATCTTCAGATTTTTTTATTAGTTTTCAGAATCATTTGATGGAGAGTTTGGTGTGTAAATGAACTATCCCTTAAATAGTTAACTATCCTTCTAAAATTAATCTAATCTGATTAAACCTAACCTGGCTAGGAACTAGACTTACAGGCTGCTCTAAAAATGTTAATGAACAATCTTTTCATAATTTCTACATTTAAACCTGAAAACTGTTTTAAAAGTATCAGACCTACAGTTTAAATCAGAATTAACTTACATTTTTTTTTTCTTTTTTAAATGTTTCCCAATGTTTCACAGAGCAAGGAAATGTTCACAGTATGTCTGATAATATTTTTCCTAAAATCTTATTTGTTTCATTTCAGCTAGAATAAAAGCAGTTTAATTTTTTTATGAACAATTTTAAGGACAAAATCATTAGCCCCTTTAAGCTATATTTTTTGATAGTCTACAGAACAAACCATCAATATACAATAACTTTCCTAATTAACCTAGTTAAGCCTTTAAATGTCACTTTAAGCTGTATAGAAGTGTCTTGAAAAATATCTAGTCAAATATTATTTACTGTCATTATGGCAAAGATAAAAAAAAATCAGTTATTAGAAATGAGTTATTAAAACTGTTATGTTTAGAAATGTGTCTTCTCTCCATTAAACAGAAATTGGGGAAATATAAACAGGGGGGGCTAATATTTCGGGGGGGCTATTAGTTCTGACTTCAACTGTACTTTCACTTGCTTAAATTTTGCGGTCATAAGAAGACTTATATGATGACCAGCAGGTGGAGCCACATATTCAAGTATGTTCAGGTTTTTTCACATAGCCTGCAGATGAATTACTAAATTACTGCTGGTGAGGATAAATGCACTTAAATGCAGTGTTGGTTTGATGCATTACAAGTAACTTATGTAATCAGATTACTTTTTAAGTAACTAGTGAAGTTACACTTTTCTTTTTCATTGTCAGAAAAAAATAAAAATGTTAGTTAAAAAGTTGTGCCAGTTATTTTGTTTTCGTGTATATTGTCTGACAGCTCTTCTGTGAAATCAGGAATAAGTGCAGATGTGTTTGTTGTGTACGGTGTGGAAGCATATACTTATTTGAAATGTTTTGAAACTGAGTAAGAATGATTTCAAATGAACAAAAACTGAGAAATACAAACTCTGAATATTTTTTGTTTGTTTGTTTGTTTTGATGAATGTTGAACTTTCTTTTCATGCATCCGATTAATCAATCAGTACAGAAATGCACAACTGGGCCCAGATTTTCAAAAGTAATTTTGGATCACAGAATGGATCAAATCTTGGGAAGGGGTTTTTCAAAAGTAACAGAGGGATTTTAAATTAAGATCAGACCACATAGTCCAATATTACGTTTGATTTGGATTAAACCTGCCCCATGGGCTATTCAAACTTTGAACAGATTGGGTTCTATATGATCCAAAAAAGCAAACACACACACACGAAAATAAAAAACAGGATTGTATTGATCCCATCAAAAAGACGCATTCAGTTGGGATTTTTTAATCAAATAACTAAATTACTGATGATGCTGTATATAAATTCCTTCATATTTGAAGCCTACATGAAGTATGTCACATCTAACAATGAGATAGGGATGGTTCCATATCATTTAAGGCTCTGGTAAACAGGTTTTGGTAATCCTGAAATTTGGTATTTGATTCACAGTGATCCAACCCAATGTTCCTTTAAAAAATGTCATAAAAGTAAAATAGATCAGTTAATCCTGGATAGCAAAACACGGCATTAAAGCTTTTTCAGATTATTATTATTTTTTTTATAAACCGGTCCCTTGAATTCCCTCGGGCAGTTGAATTCCTAAACCACTGGTGAGTGTAAATGCACTGAAATGCAGTGTTAGGGTAATGCATTACAAGTAATTTATGTAATCAGATTAGTTTTTTAAGTAAATAGTAAAGTTAATAATGCATTACTTTTACATTTTTAGAAAAATTTAAAATGTTAGTTTAAAAAAAAAAAGAGTTAAAAAGTTTTAGCAGATATTTTGCTTTCCTATGTATTGTTTGTCAGTTTAAACAGCTCTCCTGTGAAGTCAGGAATAAGTGTATACGTGTTTGTTCCACAATGTGGAAACAATTACTTACTGAGATATGTTCTGGCTAACAATTAAATAATTTGTAAAAGTAACAAATAATAACTTTTACTTGATCATTTGAAAAAGTGGCAGAAGGTAGGTTGAATCCGGTGAATAATCTGTTAAACTGCATCCCAATCATCACAAATACTGCAGAAGACCTATTGGAACCTGCTTGGATCAAAGATTCTCACAGAAATCCGTCAAGTTTGGTGAAGGAAAAATGGTTTGGGGTTACATTCAGTCTGGGGACATGCGAGAGATCTGCAGAGTGGATGGCAACATCAACAGCCTGAGGTATCAAGACATTTGTGCTGCCCTTTACATTACAAACCACAGGAGAGGGCAAATTCTTCAGCAGGATAGCGCTCCTTCTCATACTTCAGCCTCCACATAAAAGCTCCTGAAAGCAAAGAAGGTCAAGGTGCTCCAGGATTGGCCAGCCCAGTCACCAGACATGAACTTTATTGAGCATGTCTGGGGTAAGATGAAGGAGGCGTATATAAAGTTGAAATAATTTTCCATTAAAAACGCGTAAAGGTCATGTGACCAGCAGGAAGAACCAAGGAAGAACGCAGCATCTCATTTCTTAGAGCACACGTTCTGTTCTCGCGGTCTACTGAGTTGCTTCTTCCGAGTTGACCTGGCAAGATTGGTCTTCACAGGAACACAAGTCAGTTCTCTGCGTTCTTGGAATTGAGAAACAGTAAATCCAAAGAATCTTGATGAACTCTGGCAATCCCGCAAGAATGCTTTCTTTGCTATTCCAGATGAATTTATTAATAAGTAATTTGATTTCTTATTAATTTTTTTTATTAGTTATGTTAAGTGACAAGACTTTTGTCTAAGCAAAGTCAGACCTTCAGTCCTAAAATAATTAAAAATCAAGGCATGAATATTTTGGTAAAATAAGCATAAACTAGAGGCCTTTGCCTTTCATATAAGCCACTTCTGAGGCTAAATGATCAACTAGAAGAATATATATATATAATAATAATAATAATTATTATTATTATTATTAATATTATTATTGAAAAAAAGCAATAATTTCCCAGATAAAAAAGGTAACATAAATGTAACATACCGCAGTACTTTATCTTTTTTATTTTTTCAAATGATTTTAGTGTCATGTACGTGTTTATACACATTTCACAATTTAAAAAAATTAATAAAAACAGTCTCTTATTGGCGCCTCTAGCGGCTGAATTAGTCACTGCAGAGGAATCTCTTGACTAAAGGTGACTTGAATGAATGGAAAACGCTTTTCCATGGCTGAAACAGAGTAGAGGGAGCAGCCCAGACAAAGCAGCGAGAAACTTTGACGCTGAAAATCGCCACTCCTGACCCGCCAAACATGGATTTAAAGCAGACCGCGGTGGTGCAGTAAATCCAGCACCTTGCTGAAGGGATGAAAGCGATATTGGAGTGAATTTAAAGTCCCGCTGCTGCTGAATGGACTAGCTTATTTTGGTTCTGTGGGTGGACGATGACGCTTTACAATGCAACAGGTTAGAGTGAGTTTTCATTTATATTAGCAAAACTACTGAAGCAAATGCAAGCAATCTCGTTAGTGCACTGGTTATGTTGTTGTTCGTGTGTTAATCGATGGATGTGCGTAAACAGCGTGCACGCGCGCTTAGCGACACTGAATTTACAATGCAACAGAATACTGAGAGATCAAAGGAGTTATTAGGCAAATCAGGCCTGTTTTGAGATGAGCAATCTGGGTCAGTGTTTATTATGCAGTGGATATATTATGTACATCACTGACTAGGGATGTTTAAAAACAACTTGAGTTGTTTATTTCACTTTAATAAGTTTTCTGCAAAGTTACTTTTAATGGCTCAAATGTCTGCAGCATTAGAGGTAAAACTACACTGTAAAAAAAGATATTAATCATGTCAGCATGTGTTTTTAGTTAATTGTAACTTATTAAACTAATTTAATCATGTTCTAACTTAATATTTTAAGTTGTGCAAGCTGTAAGCCATTTTAACATAAGTTTAAACAAGTCATTTTAACATAAGTTCAATTGACTCATAAGGTTAATTTGATTCAGCTTAAAAATTGAAGGCAACCAGGATTTTTTACATTGTATTAAAGTATATACTGAAATGCGTGCACTGCATATTTAAAACTTCATTATTTAATTTAATTAAAAAATGAATGAAAACAACGAAATCCTTATGAAACATTTATGTATTACACTTTATGACCATATGCATGAACAAAACATAATTATACCTAATAGATTATATATATATATATATATATATATATATATATATATATATATATATATATATATATATATATATATATATATATTAGGGATGTAACGGTATTGTAAATACCGTCATACCGCAATATTAATTTTTTTCGATATTACCGAAGTCACATGACTCGGTAAAACTATAGGTCTTCTGAGAAAATTTGCTCAGGCGAATGAAGCGAACGGGAGGTAGCTTAAACTACATTTCCCATCAGCCCAGGCGTGGCCATAATCTTTTGCGGTCTGTTGTCGCTACAGATCCAGTAATGCGGAAATGGAGTGTGCTGCTAGTAGCGGAGATGAAAAAAAGATGGAAATGATCGAACCTAAAGCGGGTGTTGTCGCCGCGCGCGTGCTGAATAGCGGTGTTGTCGCGCGCGTTCTGATCAGCTGTGTTGTCGCGCGCGTATTGTAAAGCGCCGAGGGGGGGTTGAGCGCGCATACTCGAGCGGTGTTGTCTACTGAAGGGCTGGACGGAGGTTGTGTCGCGTCGCGGGGGCACTTTTGATCGTTTTAAAAGGGCATTTTCTATCCAAGACTAAAAAGGGCATGTGCACTGCACAGGTTGAGCCCTATGTGTGCACGTGCCTGCAAGTTGGGGAATACGACTAATAGCAGTCATGGGGACTGCAGAAACACAGCACACTGTTCAGATTGATGCAGACATTGACTTGTACCGCAAAGAGATCTCTATCTCACTCATGGTTTGTCTTCTCAAGTAGAGGAAAGACAATGCACAACGTTACCCACTGCTGTCAACATGGGCCAAGTCATATCTCTGTCCCAGAATCCTCAGTCCCAAATGAGAGGGTTTTTTTCTGTTGCAGGGGACATTGTAAATACCCAGAGATACCAGCTTTTACCAGATTATATTTATATGATAATTTTCCTTTAAACCCATCTCTATCTAAGTAAGTGAGTGAGTGATTAAATGTTGAATGTGATGAGTTTTCAACAATACTAAATTGAAACTTTATTTTTTTTACATGGTTTAATAATTTTTTGTTATTAAAATTGAAGTTCCTGTTTCAAAGCTTACAGATAGATGGCTAATTTGTATGTCATTGACACTTTTGGCACTTTTTTGAAGTATTTTCATAAGTTTTGTTTTTCCTGTAAATGATTCAATAAATACCGTACCGTGACATTCATACCGAGGTATTACCGTACCGTGAAATTCTGATACCGTTACATCCCTAATATATATATATATATATATATATATATATATATATATATATATATATATATATGAAGAGTTCATATGCAAAAACCTCTAAATTCCATCTAAAACTTTTCTCTAAAATGCTAATTTTTATCAGGTGCATGTGTGTATGTTCAGTAATATCACTTTTATGGCATAGAATAAGTCCTTTTTCTGGTCTTTAAAGTTAAATATCTCAACATAAACAAAGGAGGCTGTAAAAATCTTTAATTTTCGATGGAAATTTCAGACGGCACTTAGAGGTTTTTAGCTTCTTGCATCTTTTACAAGTAAAAAGTAACAGTTTTTTTTGCATTTTTACTCCAGTCTTTGTTTTAACATGATTATTTACTCTTCTATAAACTTATGATTATAGAGTTATGATAAATAACAGTTTTGAAAACCGTTTTGCAGGTTCATACTTTTATGGAAAGTGATATATTAAAATTCAAAAGTATCAATTAAATAAAAGCTATTCTATTTTAAATATATTTTAATCACGTATATTCAATTGATCAACATTGCACAATATAGCAGTTTATTTTATCTTCATTAATTCATTCATTTTCTTTTCGGCTTAGTCCCTTTATTAATCTGGGGTCGCCACAGCAGAATGAATCACCGACTTATCAAGCATATTTTTTTACGCAGCAGATGCCCTTCCAGCTGCAACCCATCACTGGGAAACACTCATAAACTCTCATTCATACACATACACTACAGACAATTTAGCTTACCCAATTCACCATAGCGCATGTCTTTGGACTGTGGGGGAAACTGGAGAACTTGGAGGAAACCCATGCCAACACAGGGAGAACATGCTAACTACACTCAAAAATTCCAACTGGCCCAGCCGAAGCTTGAAGCAGCAACCTACTGCTGTGAGACGACAGTGCTACCCACTGTGCCTCCCTTTATTTTATTTTATTAGTTTTAGCAGTTTATTTTTTCATGCATATTAATGTTTTTTTTATTTACACTAGTTTTTCTTCCCAGATTGTTTGTAATACTAACAGTTAGACACTTAATTAGTTTTAGATGATGTTTATCTGTGACCCTGTCAGTAAAAATATTGATTTCTCCACACAGTCCTCATGTCAGGAGTTGTATCTGACTGCTGGTGACTGCTCCGCCAGCTGCTTTAGTGTGAACTTCTACCTCAACGCATTGGACGCAGAGTAAAGGCAAACATCATGGTTCCCAACAAGTGGATTATGCATCCAGCTCTTCACAAATCTCCTCCCAGAAGTTGGCTTGGCATCCGGCTGCGTCTCCGTAAGTTTTGTTCTACAGTAACACTTCAGGAGTGTGAACTAACAGTTTGTCTGATGCCTGAAGGTGCTATATATCAGTGCAGTGCATATGGATGACTGTAGATGTGTGTTTTTGTGCTTTAGCATTTACAGTCAAGTCTGAATTTTTTATACTCCCTGCAAAGTCTGACTTAGTTACTTTTATTCAACTAGCAAGGTTTTTTTTTTTTTGACCGTAAATGACACAGGCTTCTCCTAAAAGATAATAAGATGATGTTTAAGATGATTGGGCAAAATTATATTTCTCAGTTTTTATTTACATTAAAACAAATACTTTGAGTCAGAATTTGCCTTGTGATGTTCCAAATGATGTTTAACAGAGCAAGGAAATTTTCACAGTATGTCTGATAATATTTTTTCTTCTGGAGAAAGTCTTATTTGTTTTATTTCAGCTAAAATAAAAGCAGTTTTACATTTTTAAATCCATTTTAAGGTCAAAATTATTAGCCCCTTTAAGCTAATTTTGTTTCGATAGTCTACAGAAAAAAACATCATTATATAAGAACTTGCCTAATTACCCTAACCTGCCGACTTAACCTAATTAACCTAATTAAGCCTTTAAATGTCACTTTAAGCTGTATAGAAGTGTCTTGAAAAATATCTAGTCAAATATTATTTACTGTTATCATGGCAAAGATAAAATAAATCAGTTATTAGAAATGAGTTATTAAAACTGTTTATGTTTAGAGATGTGTTGAACGAAATCTGCTCTCTGTTAAACAGAAATTGAGGAAAATAATAAACAGGGCTAGTAATTCAGGGGGGCTAATAATTCTGACTTCAACTGTATATATATATTAGCATGGACTGAGGGGATGTGTCCCAACCAATATCCACAGATTATTAAAATGTCCCCACCAATAATTGAATGGCCTCCAAAATAAAATAATGCATTGTTAAAATTTTAAAATCAGGCTTACTGTGCAAGAATCAGGCCTGACATGAACATAAGCAGCTACATTTCAAAGAAAAGTGTCAGGAACTTTAAGTCAAGTCCGCTACAAGTCCACCATAATAGTAACTATGGATGTGTAATTAATAAAAAAACAAAAGTTTCCATGTTGGCCTCCATGGCGATTATGAAAAAACAACAATCGAGATAAAATGGTTACTGTGTCATATACATTCCCCTTACATTTTAAACAAGTGGCAAGAGGAATGGGATGCATTATAAAATAATGAATTACATGAAATCCAACCTGAAATCTCACACAGAATTTGAAGACATTTTAAGACTAGATTTGATCATGTGATTTTTACCAGATGTGTTATTGGGCATACAAGAATAACCCATTGTTTTTTGCACCAAGGTGAAAATCCTACTTCGTGTTTGTACTGCACTGCATAACTCCCCTTACTATAAAACCCATTTTACTGGACTGATCTGCTTTTAATGATTCCAGAATACTTTGTAATGAAATAAACTCTCTTAAGGACATTTTTAGCAAAGTGACACCAGAAAAGATTTTAGAATTTTTTATCATCTATTAACACTAAACATCTTATTTAATACATGTATTCATTTGTTTGTTGATTTTTAATTGTATATTTATTATTGAAATGTTCCTGCCATGAATATAGCCTTGGTTGCTGACATGGCATTAAATAAAAAAATACATTACGTTACATCCCCCTTTCCAGAAGTCAGCATTCATTCTTTGTCAAAGTAAAATCATAGGATTTAATGTTGTTTTTATTACTAATTTGATTTGATTTATTTATGTTTTTTTTAAAGTGTGAAATAAAATGTGTGCTGTTCTGTTTGCACGCCCAGAGAAGGCAAAGAACATGTAAAGTCATCTTTTAGCTTACAGTGCATAAATGGCAATATTGTACTTGGTGATGGTGATTATGCACGAATAATCCCTCAGTAAACGCAAGTCTTTATTAAACTACATTTTAGTCAGACATTCCTTTAACTTTACATTTTAAATGTGAAGTTACATTTAAATTTTACGATTGGATTGGGGTGGGGCTCAAATTAGGTTCCCACCAATATCAAAAGCAAATCTACGCCCTTGGAAGAGACTTTCAACCAGCACATCAAAAAATATTTCTGAAGACAATCGCCTACTGCACCTTTAACTTTTCCGAATTTGTAATGCAATAATGTTCACCTTTTGTAAAGCTGCTTAGAAACAGTAATTCAAGAGTTCCCACTTAGATATGCTTGACATTTATAGCAGGTTTGGCATGCTGTCCCGGGAGAGAACCCTGAGCTCAGAGATACTTGAGCCCAAGGCTCCCGCCCGGTCAATAAGCATATAAGGGGATCCAAGATCAGGTAGATCTCAAGAGTATCCCTTTAGAAAAGGAAGTAAAAAGGAGGAGATGGGGTGGAAGGGGGGATTCCTCCAAAACGATGTTAGAGCAGTTGGGAGAAAACGATCCATATATAACTCTGATTGGATTATTACTGATTACAAATAAGAAGCCAGTCGTGCTCAATCTTATCACATGCTCCTCTCGAAATTTGTTTGTGAAACTTCACTTATTGTAAAAAGCGCTATACAAATAAACTTGAATATATTTAATTATTTTATCATTTGTAGCAGTGCCAAATTATTCATGGATCATTCTTAATTTCCAAAAAGTAAACTTTGCAGTTTTGAAAAGAAATATAACTACAGATTGCCATGCACAGACACTTTATGTTGTTGCCAAACATTTCGCTGCTTGATTATATTGACCTCTGCAATCAAGATAAGATTAGCCTTCCAGTTTGAATGGTTATTTATAGAAAGCCCAAACTAAAGTGTGCTGTTCAGCTTCTTAGCTCAGCATGGGCTGCAAGTTACCAGACCACTCAAGACTCCCTGAAATACACAGGCTTTAATCTTGAAGCATCTGCTGTTTAAGGCCCGTCTGTGAAAGAGCTTCTGTCTAACTCGAGTTTGATTCTGTCATTTTATCTTGCTTCTAACTGGTGTTTTATCCTCATTTTGGAAGCATGATTTCATCTGACTGACCTTTTAAAGCTCTTAGTTCGACACGCTTCGTCCAAAATTGTCATTGCATCATTTTAAGTTGGTTCCTCCTGCATCCGCTAATTCTCTGCCCCAAACACTGGCAAATCCTTCTGCTTAAAGGCTAATCTTATTAGTTGAAGTGTCAAGGGGTATTTATTTTCCAGTTTGCACTTCTCTTAGCTAAATTTGGTGTGTTTGTTTATAGTCAGGTTTTATGAACTAAATGTAAGTGGTCTTTGCTAAGTTAGGGATAATTTACAAAAAAATGAAAATGCTGTTAAAGGGATACATTTTGTCACCAACTATAAAACACCGAGTTTTTTGTTTCACAAAAGTACATATTTTGATAAATGCTGGTTGCTGGCACACATTGACTTAAGAATCCAGCAAAATATCTTCTCAATATCTTTATATTTCAATAAAATGCAGTTACAAAATACAAGTACAGTTAATTACCTTTTTTTACCATCAAAAGACAAAAAAACACACTGGAAAGCTGTTAAATGCAATGTACAAAAAAATGTTGAAGTTTATTTGAATTATTAATTGATAATTTTTCCTTTTTGATATATATTTGAGACCCTAAACCTCAAAACCTGCCCTAAAAGACTAATGTTGAATGGGTTTTGGCAACTATAATAATTCTAAAATAATTTCCTTTAATCATTATAATATTAATTAAAGATCATGTTCCATGAAGATATTTTGTGAATATTCTACCACAATTGACTTAATAATATCAGTTGCTTGTGGTTGGAAGTAAAACGTATGTCAGAGTAGTTGGCGGTTCATTCCACTGTGGCAACCCCTGATAAGTCAGGGACTAAGCCAGAGGAAAATGAATGAATAGCAGTTCCTAAAACACAAATTTGCCAAATTTAAAGTTGATTTTCTCAATGTTTAAATATTTGAACCCTCAGATTTTCAGCGTTTCAAATAGTTGTCAAATTTTGTCATATCCTATTAAACCAAAATCATATCAATAATCAATTCTAAACAAATCATATCAATAAAAAACTTGTTTGTTCCACTTTCAGATGATGCATAAATTTAAATTTTTAGAAAATGTTTAGGCATATGACCGGTTTTTGTGGTCACATTTTTTATTTATTTATTTTTGTTGTCATTTGATTTCATGGTTTTAGTGTTTCAAAAAAAGTTTGTAGTTTTTCACTTAAATGTTTTAGTTGTGAAGTTCAAAGATAAAACCAATAAAGCAATGGCATACCAATGGTTTGGCATTTTATATTTGAAAAATGTGACAATCTAGTAGACAATCATGCTACGAAAGTCATTAACTTTTTCAGCAAGAAAAGTCTATATAACAACTTGTCTTCTGAAACCGACTCCCTGTTCTCACCTAATTTGTCTGATTCATTCACAAGCACTTACACTGTAAGAATGCTGGGTTACACAATTCCTTCATGTTACCCCATGCAACACAAATCAGTTGAGTTAACTTGTTTATAAAATTGAAGTGGATTAAACATAAAACAATTAAGCTTCCCAAAAAACTTAAGAATTGTGTTTTCATGTCATGAAAGAAGTTGTTTGAACAGCCAAAATAAATGTTTGAGTGTAGAGTAGTCACATTGCATTTAATTCATTTGTTAAAATACACTACCTGGCGAAAGTCTTGTCATCGATTTCAGTTGTAAGAGCAACAAATAATAGCTTGACTTCTACTTGATCATTTGGAGAAGTGGCAGGAGGCAGATTTTTCTGATGAATCATCTGTTGAACTGCATCCCAATCATCACAAATACTGCAGAAGACCTACTGGAACCTGCATGGACCCAAGATTCTCATAGAGATCAGTCAAGTTTGGTGAAGAAAAATCATGGTTTAGGGTTACATTCACTATAGGGGCGTGCAGGAGATCTGCAGAGTGGATGGCAACATCAACAGCTTAAGGTATCAAGACAGTTGTGCTGCCCATTACATTACAAACCACAGGAGAGGGCAAATTCTTCAGCAGGATAGCGCTCCTTCT